GTCTCCTCGCAAACTTTGCTGCCCAGCTTGGCTGGCTTTTGGGAGGGTCTGCTTCTCAGCTTGGTGGGTGAGTCTGAAGCAGGGAAACATCCCTGGTAGGGGTGCAGGAAGAACACTGGGTGACTTTCCACTGGCTGTGTGCTGACAAGGGTATGCATGGAAGCATAGGGCAGATTTATGGGTGCAGTTCTGCCAAACACTTGTGATCCCACAAAAATTTAGCATCGTGTCCCACAGCGCCTGGCAGGATCACACATGTGTTCCCTTCCAATTGTCTGTGGTGGGACATTATTTTCTCCCTTGTGACCTAATGGTCAATGACTTTTATTTCTTGAGCTTGCCTGTTTAATTAAGGAGTTGCTTCTCACCCAAAGTATGGGATAAGCCAGAATGAAAGCAATATGCTTTTGAGACTGAAATAAAACCCCAAATGTCAGCTCACCCGCTGTGCTAGCTATTAAAGCTGAATGAAGTGGTTGCATTATGATGGTCATGGGATGCATTGTGGAATGAGCACTATTGTGGGTGAAAACAACTTATTTGACATTTCTCAAGTCACTTTTTGAGCATTTCTCCTAAATAAGCCTTTATGCTTTGTCTAAACAGCTGAAGTTGGTGCTTAATAAAACTCTGGACTGTGCTTTGCCCAAGCACTTTCTATGCTAGATGGCTTCAGTAAACACTTTAAATTTTGAAAGTGAAATAATTGCTAAACTTTCACTAAGGCACCACATGCTGAGGTTACTTAATACCCTAGTATCAATTCACATTACCAAACTCAAAGGTAGCATTTCATGTAGATGCTACCTGGACAGGAGCTCCAAAGTGGTTGGCAATCACACCTGAACTTGCTAATCAACACCAAAAAGTAATGTCTAGCTAATTTGAATATGTAAACTTCATTTTAGAAGCTAGATAATATATGAGCCTCTGTTGATAGGAAGGGTGCACCTCATGATGTAACTGCCAAAGACATCAGTTTGCTTTCTGATTACAAGCTGCAGAGCATTTTAATGTGTCTCACTGCCCATGGAGTAAATGTTTCCCTCCTGGACCAGGTATCTTCTGAGAGAAGCACTGCTGTCAGTAAAATATTTATAATGCAAACTACACAGCAACATGCACTGTGGGGTTGTGATCACTGCAAAGAATAGTTTATCTGCATATATAACACAGTCATGCAAATAAGCACGCACAGGCTTGGACAAGGTGTTGAGGTTAGACCTTTTGTTCAAGATCATATTTGGTCAAAAAGTTTTCTTGGCATGTTTTCCCAAGAAAAAAAATACTACTTTTTGATGTGACTGCAAGTTGTTGCAATTTTTTTTTTTCATAGAAATTTCTGTAGTTTTAACTCAGGCATTGGAGGAGGAAATAGAAATTAGAAGCTTCTTATTGCTTGAATCTTCAGGGAAAAAAACCCTGCTTTTTCTTTAGATACTGACTTTTTTTTAAAAAATGCAAAGCATTTTTTGACTAATATCGGGGAGCTTTTTGATTTTTCAATGAAAAATGGGGAAAATATGAAAAAATCTGAATGAGGCAATTTAGCATTTTGTATCAAATGATGGGGATTCCTTGACTCTCATGAACAAAACCTCTGCCTGCTGCCCCTGCAGCAAAAAGTGACCACCAGGTCTTCCCATGGGAGGAGGACCCCATTTGCCAGGCGTGGTCAGCACCTTGTCCCAGCCAGAGGATGCCACGACTGCGAGGGAGTAACAAGAGGAGAAGTCTTACAGCACCACGAGGCTGCTGAGGTTCTGGAAGGCGTAATCGGGGATCTGCCAGATCTGGTTGAGAGCCAGGGTCATGGCTTGAAGTGCTGGCAGGTGGTTCAGAGCTCGGACAGGGATCTCCGTCAGGGCATTATCATCCAGCCACAGGTGACGCAAGGAGAGCAGCCCCTCAAAGCTCTTCTCAGGCACCACAGAGATAAGGTTTGCATCCAGGCGTCTGAGTGGGAAAGAAACAGGGTGGGGATAAGTGAGAGATGGATCTAGCATTGCTTTATGAGCCTGCAGTGTTATGCAAAGGGAGTTTTGATGCCGAGGCGGGATGGATTGATGGCCAGGGAGATTGGATTAAGCTGTAAATAGTGATTTGCATAAGGAGGTCTCCGTGCAAGGCTTCTGCCTGTGCTTGGAGATGTTTGACCGCTGCCAAAGATGAACCCTTCTTGATGGCCATTTAGTGCTGCCAACTGATGGAAGCTTCTTAAACAAAGTGATTGGGCTTAGGCCTTTCACATGGACCCATCAGATGGACACTGGCCAGTTGTGGCTTGCAGGCACCCCCCTTAAAACTGAGCATGAAAGCTGCATCCCCTAGGGCTGGGCTTGCCCTGGACCTGCCTGAGCCGATCTGTGGAGGCACAGCCCTATTTGGGCTACCCCACAGCCTGCTCAGACCCACTGCTGCATGATGTGCAGGACAGCCAGACATGTGGCCAAAGCCACATTCCAGAAGAAAAGGGTTTGTCTGGAAATGAGAAATATGTGGCAGCCCTGCTTGGGGTCCTGTGTTTGATCCAAACAGCCAGAGCTACCTGCAAAAGCACCACGAACAAGTCAGACCATATGTCACGGCACAGGAATTAAGCCTGTGCTCTCTGTATCACACATGTTCAGGCCTTTCTTTGTCCTTGATTTGCCAATTTTTTTTTTTTTTTTAAATTATCATGGAAACCTTGAGGCAGTTGAATTTGATGTATAATTTGGTGAGAAACTTTAACTTTTAAGATTTGTTTTTGTTCCAAAATAGAATGGGAGGCCAAAAAATATTAAACTTATTATGAAAAAAAAAAGTTAAAAAACTAGGTTTGGGAATAATCTCTCTTAAAGATCTCTTATTTCAACAATGGTGAGCAGGATACAATGTGTTATCTGTAGATTTTAAAATAAAAATATAAAAGGAAAACACTTCAAATTTGGATGAAATACCAGGAACCAATTATACCAAGGAAAAAGGAAATTCTGATTTCCATCCACAATCAACAGAGCTTACTTTATTTTTCCAAGCTATCTAAAGGAGAGATCTCTGAATTCAAATTTCAGAGAGAAAGTACTTTGTCTCTTTATTAAAGCATGAGAGAAGGAAGTTAACAGAACTGTCATGGCCCAGCCATCAAATCAATGATACTCCGTAAAGGAATGTGATATAGAAATTAGTATTTTTGACTACATAAAGTAATATTTTTGATGAGACTTGGACACTGGAGCAGATCCCCAGACACTGTTGCTGCCCAGCACCAGACACTTGTCCAAAGAGCACAGACAACATTTCCTAGTTCATAAACCACTTCCCAGCACCCTGCAATAAACTTCTAGTCTGCAGGACGAGGCCAAATGCCCCATCATATGCACAGAGCACAGAAAAGGCCAGGTGCAAGCTGTGGTCTCTACGTGGGGTAGGAGAGGTATTTCCTGGGTGAAATTCTCAGGTGATCCTGGGAAACAAACCTTTTCCTATGCCACAGAGAGAAGCATCTCCTGCACTGGCTGGTCTGACCTGGATGGTCAAAGCTGGAGATTTGAACCTGGTTAAGAAGTGCTGTCAAACCTTCCTGAGATCTCCCTTGGACAACTGTCCCTTAAATGCAGTGCACGAGTCTTGATATAACATCACCTCAAACTGAATTTTGCCACATTAATGTGTTTTTCCGAACTGCAATACACTTGTGTTGCTACAAAGTGGCATTTTTGGGTGCAAGGCTGTTCCATTGAGGGTTTTTCAGCCATCTCTATTGATTCCTCTAAGGATGACAAAATCACATCACACCCAAGCTCAGCTCAGTTGCCACAGGATTTGCATCTTTGCTCAGAGTTCTGACACAAGACAGTGTATATTTTCCTCTTGAAAATGGTGGGCATGTTGCAAGTTCTGCCTCAATTTACCTCCTGTCACCAAGATGACAAACAAATCAGAGCATAACATAATTTATTTTCCTGAGAAGGCAAATCCGAAGAATAAAGAGCAGAAAAGCAAGCCCTGCAGCAGCTCAGGGTAAGATTAAAGACTCTATTTGAAAATTTTCATCAAAATGTTTTGGGACCAACAAGAACTTTTTGACCAAAATTAAAAATTGTGTGGGAAATGTTGGTCTTCACTTAATTTTTCCATTCCTTCTTCAGCATAAGAATTCTGTTAGTTTTTGGCATCATAATGTTTTTGGTTTTTTTAAAAAAAGTACTACTTACTTTTCTCAGAGACATTATTTCATCCAAATCCTTATATGTTTACTGAAAATTGTTTTAAAGTGAATGCTCTGTTTCAAGTTTAATTAATTAAAGAACAGACAATGAAAATATCTACTGAGAATAGCTATCATTTTTCATAACTAAATTAAGCTTTCAGAAATGCAGATGGTAAGCCAAGCATGGAGATGGAGAGCCAAGGGCTGGTGCACTGGGTTAAGTTGTCCAAGACAGGCATGGTTCATGGCAAGGGAGTGAGGTGGACTCCGTGACTCTCTAGCTTTATGTCCCACTTTGGTCATGAACTCCTGGGCAAAGCCACAGACGTGAGCCACAAAGGAGTTTGGCTTCAGTGTGATGGTGCCCCAGGTGTTGGAGAAACCATTCATGTTGATGGATTTGCTCTATGGCTATTTAGCATATGCTCAAGAAAGGCACTTTTTTACATGCATGGTCTGTCGGTACGAGAGAAGTGCCAGTAAGGTAGCATGGGTCCTTGGTGGATTTTTTTTAAGTACTCAGACACCTATGATTGGTGGATCCCCATGATTAGTACAGGGGCAATAACTGAGATTTGTCTAAGGAAGTTGTAAATGCTCCTGGAAGGACACTAGCTTTTGACATGCTGCATCTCTATACCAGGCTCTGCTTCACAACTCCACACCTTACCATCAATGAGAGGTCACCTCTGCAAGACTCAGATGAACCCCCAAGTCTTCTGTCTCCTCAGCCTGCAGGGGCTGCCTGGTGGCAACATGGCATGTTGTGGTAAGTGTGGCTACTGTCCATGAGACACTATCTGGAGAGTAGTGTGCTTGGGGAGTGTTGTTGAGCTCCAGCCATGTATTTGCTTCCTTAATCTTCTCCAAAGTGTGAAAATCAGCCCTCAGCCAGATTCCTCAGTGGAGTGAAAGGGAGACTTTCTGTTGCTTGCAATGAGCTGGACAAGGGCCTGAGCAGCCTCAGAAACAGCAGTCTGCTTGGACCATAGCACACCAAGATGCACCTATCTGGAGCTAGTGAAGTTAAAATTAGGAACAAGGAAGTGTCCAAGTGAAGACATGTCAAAGGCAGCACGATGGCCAGGATTCCTTATGTGCCTTTGCATCATTGACAAGGGAACAGAGAACATAGACTAAGTGATGGCTGCGTTCCTGGTACCAAAATGTCTCTGGGTTGTTTAATTGCTCCTCAGGGAGTTGCTGGCTCTTTCTGGAATAGAGGTGCATTCTTTCTAATAAAAGCTGTGGATGTGGGGATTGCTAATTGCTATGGCTTTCAGACAGCTCTCCACTCTCTTGTGGAAGGAGAAAAGCTGAAGTTCTTGGCACAGAGTTGTTAGTAATTATATCAATTATACTAAACAAAAACCAACCCAACAGTTCTCTTCTTTCTTCAGTGTGTGACTCTGGCTCCGTAAGTGTTTTGTGTTATGATTTATACCTAAGATAATTGGGCCGATTAGTAGGTAAATGGGACAGCACAGGCTGGGGCTGGCTCCTCACCTTCCACGGAGATGTTTTAATCTTTATTTCACTGTATCACTCGGTTTTCCTTGCAAGCATTAACCCATTTGTTGCTTATGGAGGAAGATACCTCTTTCATGGAGCTGCTGGATGGCCTAGAAGTGGGACTTCATCTCACACCTGCTGTCAAGCAGTGCTGTAGGTCTGGAGAGCAGATAACACACAGTGGTCTCCAGATGTCTGCATGGACAAGATTTCCAAGTGACTTCACAGGTTCAAGCAAGGCACTGCAGAGCATTGTCCTGTGTCTTGCAGGCTAAAGGAACTAATTTTAAGTGGAACATTCAAGAAGAACAGCATATGAAAATCACCAGCTGCTTGGAAGTCTCAGCTTCTGGCTTTAGATCTGCCTCTACTGCTGATAGTTATGGGGCATTTATATGACTTCAACATGACAGTCAAAAGTCCTAAAAGTGCCTGGAATCACCTCAGATTTTACTTGATTTTCTGTTTTAGGAACTACAGGGGTGGGGAGAGAGGGAGCTCCCTGGGAAGAACATTAAAAGTCCATTGGCTTTTGGTCTGCGGCATTGCCTATGCCATCTTTATTCCCTGAGCAGATGTTCACATCTGTGCTGGGCCATGGTGAGAGAAGCAGGTCAGCACCAAATGCAAGTATATCTGAGCCCCATTAGCTGATGCCTTTGCTACTGATATAGCTGGTGGCAGCTCTGGGGAGCCAAAGGAACCTGTGTGGGGTGGGAAAGAGAAGTCCTTCCTTGGGCAGGACAGTGTCAGGTAGGCTTTGTGTGGGTGCAGGGTTAAGAGCCCAGCATGCTTTTGAAGAGCCAGTTCATTACTTTGAGCATTGTTTGTATTTGATGAAGGCATGAGGAGGAATTGCCTGCCTTCTTGCCAGGAACAGTCGAGAGATGATGCTAGGATCAAAAACACTCCTAGAAGGAACCAAGTAGGTAGGGAATTCCTTTTCTAATGAGAAAAGGTCAAGAGTGGGAGATTCTTCCTTCACAGTGTGCATGAGATAAGCCAATACAATCAGTGCAGCCATTCAGGAGGTCCAGGTGCTGGTGAGACTATGTGCAGTTGCCAGTGCAGTGAGCATGTCATAAGTTTTGTACTAATTCTGACAAGTCGTATCATAGAATCATATCATAGAATGGTTTGGGTTGGAAGAGACCTTAAAGATCATCCAGTTCCAACCCCCCTGCCAGCAGCAGGGACACCTTCCACTAGACCAGGTTGATCAAAGCCTCATCCAGCCTGGCCTTAAACACTTCCAGGGAGCGGGCATCCACAACATCCCTGGGCAACCTGTTCCAGTGTCTGACCACCCTCACAGTGAAGAACTTCTTCCTAATATCTAATCTAAACCTACCCTCTTTCAAGTCAATCTAAGATGCTTGGTTTCCTGTGCCACAGATCCAGTAGTTTCTAACAACTGTCTTGTTCCAAGAACTGCTCCCACAGCATTTCAGAAGATGTACAAGTGCATTTCCCAGACATCTGTAAGCACATGCATCCTGCTGTCTGTAACATGCCTGACAGAAGTGTGCAGGACTGGATAACCAGAAACAGTCTTTCTGTTCCCTAACAGATGTGGTGCAAATCTCAGTCTATGACTGGCAGAATCAACTTTGCCCATATCTTTCCAGTTCCTTCTGGCTTTGGTGCATTTACAGGTGAAGCTGAAGCCTGTAAACCAATAAAAATGCACAACGCCATGCTGTCAGGAACTACGCCAACTTTTGCTGCTGTTCTTCCTTCCTTGCACACAATAGAGTCAATAATAGCTGACTGTCTGGACGCCTTCGACATGCTGTGTGAGGTAACCAGTCTGCAGTATAGACTCTGTTGTGTTCCTCTGCTGCCCACAGCCCAGTCACAACAGGACAGTGGGACCTCAAACTCCAATCCATCCTCCTAGTATCTTTTGCAATATGTTGGGCTATATTTTCCCTTGATAAAGTTGGAGAAAACTTGCCACCAAAGATCATAGGGAGCATTGGGTGGTACTGGGCTGGACTGTTCTCTCTCCAAACTGGGGAGCTCCTCTGCATCTTGATTATCTATCAACAGCAGAATTAAGGACATAAAGAAAGGACGATCTGGAGAGAAAGCTGCAACCCTTGAAGGAGTGAGGACTAAGTTGACAGCAGCGGGAGGAAGAGCTGGTTGCCTACCCCTCCCTGAGACAACCCCTTTCTTGGGGAGTGAGGTGCTTGCTGTCTTCCCTGGCCCCAGTGTGCATGTGTGTTGGCTGAACAGAGCTGATCTCACCAGAAATGTCTAATTGGTGCCTTCAGGCAATCATGTCTCTCTTCCTGTCTGAGTTTATCTTGAAAGGCTCGATTGAGTTACCTCCTATCCCATAATAGGATCTAAGTTCCTTGTAGTAACATAAGAAGGAGATGATGTCACTGCAGCTAAACTTCTCAGATAACTTCCTAATGACTGGGGCCAACACCTCGGCTCCTTTCTCAGGCAAAACTCCCAGATGCACTGAGTCAGTACCTGGCTTGGAAGCTCCCAGGGAACTCACTGTGCAAGGAACTGAGGGTGCAGGGAGGGAGGATGGCTCCAGAGCCCGGCAAAATGCCCTGCTCAAAGGCACTCTGTCCCCCTCTGCTACACTCCTCTGCAAGCCAGCTCCACATGTGCTGCTCTTTCTGCCAGCAGCAGCAACCAATGGGGCCTGAACACACAGAGGCAGGAGGTTCTGGGTCCCTGAGACTGCTCAAATAACACAGGTGAGGAGCAAGGGCTTCTTCCATCAACTGATACCAAATGGGATAGGAGAAAGGCAGCCAGGGACTGTAGTGCTAACCTGGAAGGTGGGAAACTGAGTTCAGTTTCGGCTCTGCCTATCATGTCCTTGTGGTTACAATGTACTGCAGATACACTCTTCGGCAGAGGAAAGACATGGACCTGTTGGAACGAGTCCGGAGGAGGCCACAAAAATGATCTGAGGGCTGGGACAGCTGCACTGAGGAAAGGCTGAAAGAGTTGGGGTTGTTCAGCATGGAGAAGGAAAGGCTGTAGGGAGACCTTGTTGTGGCCTTTCAATACTTGAAGGGGACCTATAAGAATGAGAGGGACAAACTTTTTTAGCAGGGCATATAGCGAAAGGACAAGGAGTAATGGTTTTAAACTAAAAGAGGGGAGATTCAGACTAGATATAAGGAAGAAATTTTTTACATTGAGGGTGGTGAGACACTGTCCCAGGTTGCCCAGAGAGGTGGTCGAGGCCCCATCCCTGGAAACATTCAAGGTCAGGTCGGACAGGGCTGTGAGCAACCTGATCTGGTTGAAGATGTCCCTGCTTATTCCAGGGGAGTTGGACTAGATGACCTTTAAAGGTCCCTCACAACCCAAATTATTCTATGATTCTATGAATGACATATTATTGAACAGGTAAGACATTGCCTCGTAGGCCTGCTCCAACACCTGGGCTCTCTGCCCCTTCCACAGAAGAGCTCACAGCCCTCAAGCAAGACTCATAAGACTTCCCTAGCTCCATTTCCAGGCTAAAAACTCTTGTGAAAACCATGCCAGGCAGTGAATGAAGGTTCAAAATGCAAAACATGTTCCCAGTTGGCTATGGAACAGGACCTGATGGAAAAGTTTGCAGGGCTCCGTTTGGACTGCAACGAGTCTTTACTGCTGACTTAATGGGACACGTACCTCTGGGAAGCCCTCCATGAGGGATGCTCGGGAAATGAAATCAGAGCAATACCTAGACTCCACACAAAGTGCCTTTCGTAGAGACAAGAGGGCTTTGTTATCCCCAGTTGCAGACACCTCCTGTGGTAGTTAGGGTCTGGCGACTGGAAGATATCGTGCTGTACGGAAAGATAGGTCCCCTCCTTATGATGTAAGCAGGTGGAAGTGACGTTGCGAACCCT